TAAGGAAACAACAGCATAACGAAAGCAAACTCTTAGACTAAAAGAAATTGTTTCAAGGCACAAATCTTTCCCGTTATTTGCCTATATAACAGAAACAGAAATAAAGTTTAAAAGGTAAAATTGTGTTAAAAATAACTTTAATAAATTTATATGTATTCAAATTAAATTTTTAAATCCAAGTCCAATATATATATATATATATATATATATACCCATAAGTATCAAAACGTAATATACTTACCACACTTACAAGAACCATCGCATTAGAAATCAATGTACTATATATAGTGAAATAACTCATAATAAATATTATAGTTAACGTAATCAGCAACAAGTTATACGTAGATAAAGACTATTCATAAAATACAAACATTTTTTTCTTCTTTAGATAACGAAAGTGGCAATATTTGATAAGATCTTGAATTAAAATTAATTCAAGTGTCAAAATTTGGTAGTGCAATCCAGCGCAAGATGGTGCGCTGGATTGCTCTCACTTGGGGACTTGCTGAGTCTGCAAAGGTTTGAACCTCAAAATGCAGCACATTTGAAAAAAAAATTGAAAATGAAGAAACTGAAACAAAACAAAAATGTATCAAAATAAGTTTAATAATTGAGAAATTTTTATAAATAAAATACATCAATTTTGTAAGTCGAAACAAATAATTTTTCAAATTTATTGATATTAACATAAATAAAAAAAATATCGTAATTTTTCATTACAATTGATTTAGTAATGTAGTGAATTAAAATACATTAACTCACTTGTTTGATTAAATCTACAACATATATATATATATATTTATATATCCCATATATAACACAGTTTAATTTATTAATTTATTTATAATTCAAAGTTATTCATGGGATTTACTCTAAAGGTAATCAATTGTCTTTCAAGCAGCTTCCTTACGTAAGGAGTAATATTTTAATTCAATCTATAAAAAATCACATTTCTCTTTACTCTTAAACAAAAAAAAGTATCGATAAATAATAAATTACATTACTTAAACTGGATATTTTGATTCAGAGGTTCTTCTTTTAGGTGGATATTTTTTTACTTCGAAACTCATACCTTGCTTGTACCAAAAGAAGTTAAAAGAATTAATGTTTGGAGAAAATTGAAAAAATCTATTTTCTCGGCGAGTTTAACCTTTATTCAGGGTTCAAAGACCGATGAAGAACTTTCTAACCCTACTCATCTCTGAAAAGTAATTGAAGCGTTAACATAAAGGGCATCTTGTTGCAAACATGATTTTGTCGTTCAATCAAAATTGAATTAGCTTAGAGTATTTTCTAGACTGGAGTGTAAAAGATATAGATTTTAATCTTCGGTGAATTTATGCTTTATTTTATACTGATTTTTAGTGAAAGAATTATTCCTTAAAACAAATAACTGAACTTAAAGTAAACTAAGGGATAATTCAAATAGTCATGTAAATATATGTAATATTACATTTAATCAATTTGAGACGGGTCTTTCCGCGATTCTTCCATTAATCTTCTTGGGTAAAATTAATCTTTTTAACTGTGATTTCAGTTGGAAAGCTCTCTCATTGAAGAAGGTAGTTAGGAGAGGGGGGTGCCAGCTCAGGTGTCGTCCGCGTCACTTGACCATGGTTCAAAATTACGCGGACCGTCGCCAAAAGCCCTCGTGTTGCTAATCAGTGCGACGTTAATATTCTCTCACTCACTCACTCATTGAAGAAGACGGGTTTTATGCAAATTAGAACTTCTATTTAAGTGTTTGCATTAGAGTAGGCGAGGAGGGTTGAAAGTGGATTTTCAAGAGTGATTAAGATTACGACCGGAGGTGTTACAGTTAGTCAAGTTATCTAAAAATAATCCAAATAGGGGAGCCAAGAGCGAGTGTGATTTATGAGTGTGTTTATTTCCATAATAATTAGATTAATCCAGCATGATTTATTCCTGGGTTTAATGTTTTTATGCGTTCTCTCGCTTAAATTGTCTAGTGTGGCTAAGTGAAAGGGATAGTAAAATTGTGTTTGAATTACTATGGTTGATCTTTGCTCGAACCCCCAACACCAGCGTCCTCTGGGACGTTGCAAGTTATAGATCTGCAGACTTGTAAACTTGAATCGTTTAATATATATAGTGGTAGAGTAAATGGGCTACTTCTTAAAGAATATAGTACACTTGGTAAATATGGGCACTAAGGTATCGGACACATTTAAGTAAATACCAATATTACTTGTAATGGTTTTGAATTGGTACATTCGTACTGCGACGTTGGCAAGTGTCAAGCGTCATAGCGACTGTGTAATTTGTCAGTGTTGTTATGCGGTTCAAACAGAATTTGAAACAGACTACTATTTCTATTGTAATAATACCTGATACTTCAATTGGGGTTATTATATTTTAGTTATGTTACTTAAGATTTAAGGGGACATAGTACGATTCAATTAATAAAAAATCGGTCAAAAAATCAAATCTACTTTTTTTAGCTTAAACTTTGTTCATAATATACTTTTCTGTAACCTCACCAAATTTGAAAGCTCTAAACTTAACAAACCTAGAATTATGATAGCTTTTAAGTTCGTTTTCATTCACATCTCTATGGCAAATCAAAACTTTAAACTTACTTATCTCAGAGAAAGAGAAAGATAAAATACCTAGAGTTTTTCTTCATTTAAGAAAAATATTTTTTTTTTCTATTGTGCCTAATACTTTGAATTTTTTTACCTACACATTTAACAAAAGTTAGTATGCATTTTTGAATCTAAGTAATACTTATTTTTTTAAAAATAATTAAACTCTGGACTTATAAATTTTTTTAAGGAATTTTCAATAAGCATTCATAAAAAGTGGTATTGTACAAATACAAATCATGTTACCGCTAATTGCATACCAACTTTTGTTATACCTCGTCTGACGTACTTGTAAATCAAATTTCATGCGTGTACGTTAGTTTTTATAGGAGTAGTAGCATTTTAAAATCACTTCATAAGTTTCAAATTTTTCCCTTAAAAATTTAAATGGCTAGCTTTTTATGAAATTTGTAGCAGAAAATCTGTTTTTCATCACACATACACATAGGTGGCAACCAAAATATTTTTGAAAATCCTTAAAGTAAAAAGTTTTGCGTAAATCGTACCACGTCCCCTTAACACTCAAAATTTAATAACTTTGCATGAAACCTATATATAGCGGCAATATTATGTGAGTGTAGTATCTGTTGGCGGGAGCAGGTGGTTTAGTTGTTTCTCCTTTCGACAGCAGTAATGACAATTATTGAATAATGTCATTAGAGCAAATATGGGCTGTAAAATTAAAGGGGGGGGGCAGTACCGAGGGCAGTAACGAAATTTTATGAAGTAATGCTTTCCAACCATACTCCTAAACCATACTCTCGTTCAACATGTAATTTAATTTCATCTTCCTTCCATTAATATCTTCCTTGTAACAACTTAGGCCAAGTTACAGCAACACATGGCCCATCTATTGCACTACTGAATTCTCGCAGTCAGCACCATTGTTTTTGGAAGGGCTGAGTCCAATTTCAACACTAAAAACAACCTGCGGAAATCGCGGGAGACGTAAGAATGTGGCAAGAGAGCTGACGAATTCAGAAGGTTTGGCTTCTACGAAGACGAGAGCTGTGAAAGGATGTCGTAAAGAAGGTGTAGGGGCAAAATGCAAGGCAACAGCAAATTCTAGCAATCAGAATCCATCCTGCATCTGTACTGTTTATCGAGAAATGTATTATGATGAAAATCAAGGATAGGTATGGGTGCAATGTTATGACTTTTGACCATCCTGGTTTCATGATGAATGTATCGAGTTAGAATGACTCCTTCTGTTCTAATGAGAGTGACACGATATAAGGGAGAACCCTCCATAAATATTGTTTTTCTTTAAGTTTGTAATAATTTTGACTAATTTAATGGTTTATCTGATTTTTACCATTTAATTGTTTTTAATTTATAGATAAAAAATTAGAGAATTTTTTTGTGGCACGATTTGTGCAGAACAAAGGTTTTAATTTATTTCTTATCATTTGATAAACGTGAAATTTGTGTAAAAATACTTTTCTGTGTAGAAAAGGTAAATGCGTGGTGGCAATTTCTCTCATCTTCTTTATATTGCGGCCTGTTTAAATTTACGGGAATTGCGAAATTAGTTTTGGAGCTTCTTTATACACACAGCAATAAGATTTAGAGGTTTGTTCACACACCATTAGGAAGACACTTTAAAGTTTGAATTATCTTAAATTCGGAAAATTGGAGAGTGTTTTAGTGAAGTAAATTTTCAGTTAAATGTTTTGGTATCCCTATATTTACTAAGTTCACCCTTTATTGCATTTTATGTTTATCATATGATCATATAAATAAAATTATAAAATATAGGAAATATTTTTAAGTATATGAAAGCTAATTAACCATATTAAATACTTCTTTAAAGCATGGCTTGAAATTTTATAAATAAATGTTTTAAATACAATACGCATTAAGATTTAACAATTGAGGAGTGTATCCATTATTTTCATAAAAAAAATTCGAAAATGTAGATACTCGTATCTACATTGAAAAAACCTTATGAAAATATGAAACCTTGTACTTTCATTGGAGACCGGATGTAACTTCTCTTTAACTCACTTCAATAAATAAACTTTTTTTCCCCTAATGGGCTGCGGATTGGTGTTTTACCATTGCAGACCTAGTACATTCTCGGAAGCTGGTATCTCTTTTTAGTGTGGCATCATATAAGATCATACCAATCGCCGCAAGTAATTTTGGCACCCAGTTTCCTCCCCAGAGGGAGACACCTGAGCTCTGACGATGCGAACCAGTACTAGGATTTTATTCTGCCGAGAGCACCCAAGCCAAAGAGACATTATAGGGATCTTTTACAAGCCCTGTAATCATATGGCATGGCTGCTGGAGATTTTCTGCATCATGAAAATCCACTGACTTGGGCTAGGGTCATAACTGCAACCCTGGGTGCAGAAGCGTACCACGCCACCTTACCGGCAAAAAGATGCCAACGGCACGCGGTGTTTCCAGGTGGTCACCCTCCCAAGTACTGACTATCCCCAAAGATACTTACCTTCGGTAATCGGACGAGAACCGGTGTTTTTAATAAATAAGCAACTAGTAAGAAAATACTAAGCAAAAGTACTAAGTACGTCAAATTGACTTAAAAATTACTAAGAAGCTTAAATTTATTGAAAGCTACATAAAAATTATTTTTTCGTGATACTTTTGCTCAAAGAATAGACTGAAAGCAATTGATTTGATCTAAATCGTTACATTGTAAAATTTATATACATGGCTACTTTTATTTCTGTTATACGTTCCACAATACGATATCCTACCAATTTTTCTCTTATGGCATCAGTGATTAATGTAATATTTTCCTCCACTGACTGGTAATACCCGAATTATGGGTAAAGGAACATTTATTCTATAGATTCACGTAAGAAAAATCATTGAACTACAAATTTAAGCGATATAAATTCAGCTCGGATCGCCTCATGATGTGAAATATCAGAGGCTTATACATTTTTAAAACCTCATACTGGGAGTAGTATCTGGAAATGTAGTATTAGGTTTTATGTCAGGTATCGATCGGATGATTTGAACTCGACGAAGTTCACCAGAGGCACTTGCGTTAACAGGAATTTTAAACTTACCTTATACAATCCGTTATAAAAACTAGATAGACAAACAAAATCAAGTACTTTAATGCTGAAAATATTATATTTTTTCTCAATAATGTGAAGTGTTGAAATAATATTTCAGAAGCCTGAAAATATTCAGCATGCCTGTATAAACTGAAAAGTGAAGTCAAGGTTATATGGTCATTTAAAGAATTATATTTAAAGTTGATAAAAATTATTTTTAAAACTAAAATGTTCTTATAGTGTAAAAATGTTTTTTTTTAACTACAAAAGGGCTCATATTTCAACAATCAATATTTGCATTATTTTAAAATTTTACTTTTTTTCTTTGCATTGCACATTTTTGCATGAAATAGACTTTATGTAAAGATTAAATGTTTCTTACGCTAAAATTTTCCATCCTAGTAACCAATTTGTTTTGAATTTTATTGAATGCAACCATTTTTTGCAATTTTAATTTTTCGAAATGCCATTTCATTTTTTGTTTGTAATTTTAAATACTTACTATTCTGGACTATTAAATCGATAGCTAGAACTACATTTAAAATGCATGGAGTTTATGAAGTGCATTCAGTCTTAACACAAGCGTTTGAACAGAAAGTTGAAATAAAAAAAAAAAGGAAAAGATAAGTTGGCAAAAAATATGTAGTTAGTTGAAACGTTGCAAAAATATATAATTAGTAAATTAACTGAAAAGAACCGTGGTCTTTTAGTGGCAAAATATGTTTTAGAAAAATGCTTAACAAGGCGCATTTTTTTTATTATGAAAAATACTTTTTTACTTTTTTTTCTAGATCTACTAAATTTTCTGGAAAATAGATAGATTATTTGATTTAACAAAATGATTTTTACCAACTTTCACTACATAATGACAATTCATCAGAAATCTAAAATTTTTCCACTTCCTGAACTTAATTCCTTTTAATATAAGATGTGTGTAAAATATTATTAGATGCTTAATAAGATACGTGGTTTCATTACAGATAATCTTGTACATTACTTAAAATAAGTATAATTTATTATAGACAAATAAGTATTTTAGATTTTGCAATGTAAAAAAAAGAAGTTAAACTTCATATTACCATGAAATACATTGATAATTGTTAATGTATACATTAATAAGCATGCATTACATTAATAATTGCTTATATATATATATATATATATATATATAAGCTAAATAATAGCAAGGTCTATAAAAGACCAGAATACCATTTATAAAAATTCAAACATATATAGGTGCTATGCAGCCACATAATATGTGAGAAAACATAATCAAAAATTCTCTACAAGAGAGAGATGAATAAACACGATTAAAACTGAAAAGAATTGAAATTGCAAGATAACCAGCCTACAGAATTTAAAAGGAAATATGATAAATTAAAATAATAGAGTTAACAGAAAGGGGAAAAGTTGGCTGGCCACAAAACATGTTCAACCCTACTTTTATATAAATTACTTTATATATAAGTTGTCCTAAGTCAGCAATGTTGATAATACTGTAGCATCCATTCTTTGATATTTTTAATATTTAACTCTATTATTTAATTTATCATATTTCCTTTTAAATTTTGTTGTCTGGTTATTTTGTAATTTTAATTTTTTTCAGTTTTAATCATGTTTATTCATCTCTATCTTTTAGATAAATTTTGATAATATATATATATATAAAAGTTTTACATTGAACTCATTTAAGCAATAAAAAGCGAATAAAACAGTTAAGAAAATTTCATAAAGAAAATCCAGATAATCGATTAAAGTAAAATTTTACCCAATGTGTTTTAGATTTCAAGATAACACTCTTCTGTTTATCTTAAATGAAAAGTACATTTGTAGAACAAACTTTTGATTACTATATAAAAATTGAGATGTATTAAATCTAAAATAAAATTTGATCTTATGTTAGGTTATCAGAAAATATTACTATGAGAGATAAAAAAGGATTTTTTTGTTTTATTCTTGGAAAGAAATTTAACAAAAGAACCTTAAATTCTTTTTAAAAAATAAAATTTGACTTCATTCTGAAAAAGTATATTTTCAAAAGCTTCTATATTTGAAATCATATAAAAATACTAAAATAGCAATAAAAGTTCCATCGATATTTATTGGTAGTTATTTCAAAAAATATTGATGTCTTATCTGCTTCAAATATGGAATAAAAGAATGGCTCACTTGAGATTGATAAATGGTCCTAAAATCCTTATTTTCCTTCTCTTTTTTTCCCCTTGAATGAAAGAAAAAAAATATTTTTTTCTCTCCACCAAGATTGTGAGCTAGGTAATCTTAGAACAGTTAATGCACTATGATATAGAAAAACGTGTCTATGGTGCCGATTGTGTAAAAAAGAAAGGAAAGTTTCCCTGTGACTTTCAAAGCTTCTTTTAAGTAAAAATAAACATCCCGTCAATTTTTCTTCTGAACATTGAAAGATATTAGCACAAAACTAGAAGTGTAATTTATATTTATAATTAATTATCGTACTTAATAAGAAAATTTTATTATTATTCGTATACATTATTGTTTTGATTTAAATTAAATTTTTTTGTTATCTAACATGGTATTATTTTTATACACACATATACATATATATGAACTTTACGTCGCAATAAGTATTTTATAATTTTGTGATAGCGATTAAATAAATCCCTTAGAGAAAAATGTGTATGTCCAATTTGCATACTGTGTTCGTGTTGCATCACAAGTACACGGCTATAAAATTAAAAACCAACTAAATATGTACATATTAAGCAAATTTTCATCACTTTGTTGAGAGGAGAGTTTTATAGATTGCATTTTCTTAGAAGGTCATTAGGGCACCGAAACTTTGGAAGATTATCGAAATGGTCAATAAAATCAAATTATGTATAATTAGTACATAAAAGGAAGTGCAAAGAAACATTAACACATCTACATTGTTTTGTTAGTGTAATTTTCATGAACAAAAAAATTATAAATAAAGTTATAAAAAGTTCATCTGTAGAATAGGTTAATACTAAGTTCTAATGCAGAAACCCATAATGCTTTATTCTTTTGAACTAGTAGCCTTTAAATGAAAAGAATGCCTTTTTTTCCTCTTCAGCATAATCTAAGTTGTAATAAATTATTTATTTATGTTCAGGATGTTGCCGAATCCAACCGACAAATACAGAGGGGTGATAGTCGGTAGCATGGGGTTGACAAATCACTATAGAACATGGGGTTGCAAGCCATGTTTAGTTGGAGTAGTTCACAAAAAGTATACGAAGCATGTGATGTCAAATTTAATTAAAATGATTAATAAGAGGTAAGGAATACATTTATTAGAGGTAAAAAAATATTTACAATACGATCAATGTGTGACGGATCTATACGCGTCCTTCTAATAACCCTCTTGGGATATATTTGTGCTATGAATGACAACAACCCTTTTTGAAGAAGAAATCTTGATATGCAGATTAGGTCGGTTATATATAGTATAGGTTTGCTTGCTAGATAAATAGATAGAGGAGAATAGATGATTAGACGAAGTTGCCTGGGGATTGAAATATTAAGAAGTTGAAGATAAGGAAAGATATCGCAGATCAGGTATTAGTTACATTGATAGCGTACTTTGGGCTTTAAGTTGTTAAAGAGATTTAAGTAACGATTGGTCATATAGCTACAATATAAAACAAATATTGGGAGTAGTGGATTGATCCATAAAAGATGGAACAATTGATTAAAGGTCTTCTCCGAATTCATGCCTCTCGTAACAAAATCCCCCTGCTCTTTTCTGGGAACATCTCATTCTATCTGATTAATTAAATTGTGCCTGTGATAATTAATGTGCTAAATAAATAGTTAAAAACTATTATGTCGAGTCGTCCTTCACTTCCTCCCACGCCTTTAACCGGGTCCGAGTGTAGGTATAGAGTGTTACAAATCCATCATAACTCTCTCACGTCAGAATTGAAAAGACAAGGGGGATTGTTCCAAGAACTGTTCGAAGTTGCGGCCGCTTAGATTATAGCACAGTTGACACCGACGGACGGAGGTTTTTTTCAACTTGTTCAAGCAAATTCGGTGTGTTAGCGATGTCAGCTGAAGCGATGATGATCCGCAACATTAGATTCTCTACTGTAACCACCAGGGACTTACACACAAGCGCTTTCATGTGCCCTCAGTAGAAGAAACCCAAGGGATTGTAGTCCGGGAAGTGTAAATTCCAAGTAACAGGTCCACAGCGTCCAATCCATCTACCGGGATATGTAGTATGAAGGTGATTACGAAATAAATAATTGAAAAATGTAAGGACGTATCATCTTGCATTAACCACACGTTCTGGTAAAAAGTGGCGGGTAATCCCTGTAACAACTCAAGGAAGACGTGACGTAGGAAATCTAGGTATTTTGCATCATTGAGGCGTTCGGGCAGTATATGTATATCCCCACCAAACAAATGCGGGGAAATACATATACTGCCCGATATACATATTCTC